GTTCATCATTTTGGTTAATTACTGGAAGATGGCGGTTCCCCCCTCCCCCAGGGGTTGATTTCTTACTTTCTATCTCTCTGTCTCTTTCTGGCGAGCGCATGCTCCCTATAGCTAAAACTTCTTAAAAATAAAATAAAACAAAAACAAAAAAACTTAGCCTCTCATTCATGTGTTCTGCAAATGTGAGTGCCTGCTCTGTGTCAGGCAGTCATTTGGGCCTGAGGACACAGCAGGGGACAAACACAAATCCCTGTCCTCAGAGTTTACATCAGATGGGACAGAGACACAAAACAAGTAAAATGTGTTCTCTGTTAGTAACAGGTGCTTGGGAAAAGGCAAACTGAGGGATCAGCAGATGGTGTAATGGTTACATTAGTGGACTCCCATATAGTCAACTGCGGTTCGAGTCCCAGACCCAATGGCTTAAACTCATGCTGGGCGCGTGTGCATGCATGCTCAAGATCCCAAGAAGAGAGTGGAGGAGAAGGGATTGCGGCCTGGCCATTACCCCCAGGGGGTAATTTCTCGCTTTCTGTCTCTCTGTCTTTCCAGTGAGCGTTCCCACCCTTTAGCAAAAACCTCTCTTTAAAAAAAAAAAAAAGGAAAAAGAAAAAGCAAGCTGAAAAAGGCATAGGAAATGTTGGGAGTACACACTTTCACTGGCAGTTGGAATTTTAGGTAGAGTGAAAGATAAAGCCTGAGAGATGTGACATTTAAGTAATACCTCAAAAGGCATGAGGGGTCTATCTGATCATTCAGATCTGGGTTGGTAACTAGGCAGAGAGCTATGCGAAGGCCCAGGGGTGGGAGTGAGAGCAAATTACAAGGAGATTCGATGAGTCTAGTGAAGAGGGAGCTAGGGAAAGGGAAGTAAGGGATGAGGTCAGAGAGGTCACACACAAGCAGATGGTGGGGAACCTTCAGGCCATGGAGGTACTGTCAGAGACATTGGAGCAAGGGTGTGACATAATCTAGTGTAGAATTCAGTAGGCCTTCTGTGGGTGCTGTGCACACAATAGACCAGAAAGAAGTGGTGTTGAGACCAGCCTGGGGGAGGCTATCACAGTAGGCCCATGAGGATGATGGCTCAGCCCAGCAGGGTAGAGTGGAGGGGGGAGAATGGTCATACTCGGGGTAGAAATTGAAGGCTGGAGCCAATGGGTTTGTGAGCGCATGAGAGCAGAATTTCAGAGGATTCCAAGGTAGTTTGCTTGTGGAGAAGTGGCATTGCTGAGGTGGAGAAGTCTACATGGGGCGGATTGGGAAGTACTGGGTCATCAGGAAAGTCATGATGTGGTTTTCTGTTTTTCTGCGCAGTAGCCTAGACCCAGTAGCATGCTCTTGACTCTGACTGTATCAGTTGTGAGATGCCGATTACAGGGCCCAAAGAAGGTGTCAGAGAGGCACAGTGTTTTGGTGAGCTCTGAGTTCAGGGGTGGCATATGGGCGGACAGATGGAGCCTACATTCATGAGGCAGGGCAGAAGGTGGACACTGAAGAATGAAGGAGTCTGGAAGAGGGGATTGCAG